ATGCAAGTAATTAGGACGAGTGAATAATTGTTTGGTTCTTATCAATAGTTTCTTGTGCCATTAATCTGTCTCTGGTTTCCTGTAAAGTTTTAAATTTACGTTTCTGCCTTGACGTCGTGGTTACGTGTTATCTAGATAGTAACATGTGTTTGTCAATGATACTTCTGCCTTCGACCCAGTCTATCATGTAAAGCATGTGGGAATTAGTCTCACTGGTGAAAAGGAGAAAGTGCAACGATACATGTCAGAATTGTGGTCGATGACAAGTAGACAGTTAGTCGACAATCCTTCCACAATCATATACACAGACCGGCTATTATTCAAGCACATGATAATATACATGGCGTCTTGGCATTTTGTCTGCTGTCAGGCTAGGTATATCTTGAGAAGACGGACCTGATAAACCAATGGCAGGGTTTCACTTGCACCACTTCGCCTTGCGGACAAGTGTTCCGACCAATCTTTTCCGATACAGTGACGGTCTACAAACAAACCTATCTCTTTCCAATCTTCTCTATATCAAGGCTCGCCAGGCCTTTCATCAATTAGAGAAATGCGGGAGAACACTACCCTTTTCTGTGTTCCTACCCGAGTAGAGAAATAATCACCTTAATATTAGATACATTTCTAAGAAGTCCCAAGTGACTCACACAATTCTTGCTCCACCTGCAATAGCAGTCTGTCAATATGAGGTTGCCTTCATCCGTCCAACTGTAACCCAGGACATATATGAATGTCTGTTTCAAATTAATCATGTACCTAAGCTGGCAGCCGTGTGCTTGCCCCCAGATATCAATCTGCTTTTCCTTGAATGCACGTGTAATGGGAATGCGTGGTTCTCGGCAGCTATTCGCACGTGTAAAGCAGGTGAGGTCGACTTTGAACCAAGGCAGTTCCATACAGGTGTGAGACATGTGAAGCGAGTTGGTCTTCTGTGGCCTGCTTTATTGTGACACGCCACACCTCGCTCATATCTGTCGACAAATCTTCAAGTTCATACACATCACTAATATTTTTACTCAAAATCAATTGTTTTAACTAAAGTCCTGTCTTCAGTTGTGTTCCTCTGACATTTGCGTGTCTGTTTAAATGTTGTTGGAGGCGAGCAGCGCAGGACCATAATAAATATATTGATACGCGACCCCTTTGCACTGAGGAACCCGGATGCAAATGAATGAGGTGTGAATGTGTGGAGTCTGTGTAAAGCGCTTTTTTTCGCTTAAAAATTAAAGTAAGAAAACGTAATACTAATCTGTACGCTGTGTCTCACAATACACAAATACGTAACACAATAACGTAAACCATGAACTGGTGATACACATTGGAAGCTCGGGATACATCCATAAAAAATGTTGGACAGCGTAAAACAAATAGTCAAATACGTATTCAGAACTGAAGTGAGTGAGTGAGTGAGTTAATATTTATCATCACATCGGCAATATTTCAGCCATATTGTGACGAGAACAATTAACGATTATATCATAGATCAATAAGTAGAAATTATAATCCTGTTGACGAAGAACAGTAAAAGTACTAGGGTATCACAGATAGTTGTTTAAAACTAGTGATTAAATCTAGAACATTTGAACTAACAATGACAAGACAATGTAAAAACAGGCTATAGATTGCCAACCACTGAATGTAGATCACCATACTAGGGACCATTTGGGACCTGACTTGAAGGTTACTGTGTGTTATTAGATAATTCTGAATAGCGTAAATCTATACTTTCAAATCAATTTCAAACTGAGATCTATATTATAATGATTCAGAGAGACAAATATCCGAAAGGGAGGATGATTACCACCTTCTAATAGTCACTGTCTCTTTACGTTACTCAGCTCCCAGTTTAGCTCCCTACATTTCTCAATGTTTGAGATACAATCGAAAATGCTCTTTGTATGAAGATTTCAATGATCGTCATACGACTCCTGTCCAAAAGTGTTCGTGACAAGGGAAGGATAAGGGAGGATACGTTCGCTTTTTAGCAAACTCCTGGTGATTTTCATAGTAAACACAATTTTATGGTATAGTTGAAATGGATTTTGCTTTTATCACAGACTTCTTATGGTTATGACATAGATTTTGTTGTTTGTAATTTGTAGATGGTTTCATGATTTTCAAGCATGAACATGTACTGACTTGGGTATAAAGCTAACTTAATAAGCCCTGGAATCTTTTCGTTTCATAGTTCTATGTTGTATAGAACCTCTTTGTTTCATTAGAAAATGTGTTATTGTGCTCCCGAACAGTCATAATTGCCTCGGACTCGAACAAACACTACCTAAATATATGACTTTAGGCATAAAACAGCAACAGTGTATAAAACCTCTTTTGTGGCAAGTCCAATGATGTGTTATGGCAGTCACGCCTATTTTTCTTACATTTAATGACTTCATCTGTTGTATAAGCCTGGTGGCGTTTTTAAAGAGAGCTTTCATATTTTCCCTGATTTCTCCAATATTACATGAAGAACAAACGCTTAAAAGGCAAAGCAGATCATTTTATTTCATATATTGGCGGGGTCCCTTCCGTCTCGGCGTGTAGGGGTGCCTCCAGCAGGTTCGTGGCTAGGCACGGAGTGTTTCCCTCTACACTAGGTGGTCCGTGGGTACGGCAACACATGTTTAGCTTGCATACAGCTCACATTGGCAGAGAAATTCTATTCCATCATTTCACTTCTCATGTATACTGAGAGAAGTCCTACCTCTTGCCGTTCACTGTATTTTGCTATGTAGATCAGCGCGGTTTGTTCTGGGCAAATTGACGAGCAAAACAGTCCCCCGTGAAGATAACGAGCGAGCATGTTTGTTCACCATTTGAGAGGACGTGTGTAGATCTCTCTACGATCCCATGCATTTCTGACTAAGTGTGGAGTCCTGCTTGTACAACCATGAAAGCCTTTAAAAACACTGTGTTGAAGGCACGGGAGCTCCCGCACCAGGGGAGACAGATCAACTTTGTTCGGTGTGAAGATGTTCCGATGCTAATGGATGCCAAAACAAAAGGCAACATGTAAGAATGCAGGAAACGACATGGACGAGTAATTTATGATAATTTGCACAATGCGTCGGAATTTACGAAATGATTAACTAGGCCATTTTACGTTTGAAACGATTATTTACCCCAATATACAAAATAATAAAGATAATGTATCCATTCAGAATATTACCTAAGCTCAAACTGGCCATGTGTTCAGCATTCTTCAAAACGATGAAGTTGTAACGACGAAGTAATATAAATTGATGGATACATATCTTTAAGCACAGCTATTCTATGTTAATAAATATAAAATTTGACTGTGGGCATTAATGAAGAGAACATTGTATAATTAGCTGTATTATGCACATCAGGTTAGATGAGGTGTCTTGAAATGGGTTCTAAGTCGTGTTCAAGATTATTGCACCGAAACAGCGACGTATATATGGTGTGTGCTTGTATTTGTGCGGTCTGTAAAGTGTGACTTCTAATTATTATCACTTTAAAGAAGATAATATCGACTTTATACTTGATATATCTGATTCCCTTGGGCGTACAAGGATAAATAATGATCAAAATGCATCATGTCATGACAACATTATGATTAGAACGACTACCTCTGTATAACTTCTAAGGACGGCACATTTATAATATGCTTACCTTTAACATACCATTGGTGAGAAGAAAACAATATCGGAAAGAGTTGATAAGATTTATGCTAATCTTCAAGTGTCATTAATATTAAGTTTACATCACTACAGTTTTTTTCTTAGTGCAGGTAGTAGATTGGCAAATATCCGAACAGCTGAATGTAAAAAGACTGGATTGCGGCGATGAATAAATATTTTAAAACATATGTTAAAAAAACAATCAAACTGAATTTGCATCTAGAATCTAGATGACGCTTTGTCGTATCAATGTATCTGCAGATACTAGAATAAACTAACATTAACAGTGATAACGTTTCTCAGCTTTGTAACATGAGAATTCACACTGGTGTACACTAAAATTTGTTTTGAGTCAATCATCTCCTACACCAGAATAGGTTCCCCTTGTATTAATTCTTAAGCGGAAAAAAAACTGTCTAATGTTCATCGGTCATCAAACCGTATCTGTAACATTTACATTTTAAGTTACATCAAAATGTATATTCAAAGGTAAAACTGCATTTAAACATACGAAATGGATAGATGTACTTTCCAATTTAATATGGATGAACCTTAACTTACCGAAGTGCGAGATACATCCTAATTCTGACTGTTCAAGGAACAACATGTCTCTGTTCTTCGTATGTTTTATATTAATATTTGCATATACAAATACGTGCTTAGTAGCAAGCACCATGCCATACAGCTCTGAAACGCAATAATGTCAAAGTAGTGGAAAAAATCATTAAAAAACACATCTGCCTAAGCAGAATCCACTGTGCAATTCGCACTTATCATGCGTTCTTTTGTAAGAGTTGTAAAAGAAATAACAGAAATAAATATGGAAACATTGTGATTTAAAACGTACTGGACAGAAACCTCTTTTAAATAATGAAATACGTGTATATATAATTCACATATTCGAGTCATAACTAGATTATACTACCAAGATGTGCATGAATTCATGAGTATACTGCATATGTATACTCCGGCCAAATTGTGTACACCGGATTATCGGATTCGTTTGATATTTTGAGATATTCAATTACTATTATTTATAATAATTTTGTTTTCGTACATGTGTTATGAATGAATAAACGAGTCATAATAATTATTCTAAAATATGTGGTTAGACGAGTAGATATTAAAATAACAAAAGATGAACTATATCATGATTAAATAGAAAGAAAACGACTCGTGTAATAGTGAAAACAATTTATATGTTTCAGGAATCCCCTCTGTAGTACACTACACACACTATTGTCTAATCATTGTTGATCCAAAGAGGGGGAGGTTATTCCATATATTTTTATCAAATTATTCATTATTTTCTTTGATATCAGAGCTTCAGTTTGTATTTCTTACTTGTTTCAGGAATGAGACTGCCGTCCCAGTCCTTTCAACAGCCATCATCATGTGACCGGAAGGCCTATTTCCCATACGGAACCGGAAGTATGGCACCAATGCATCCGACGTCGTATTATGAAAAATGCGCAATGTGAGAATCATCTGACAGTAATGGCGGGGACTTGCAATATGTACATAGATCTCGCATATTTATTTGAAATCTCAAGGATTCACGACTAAGCCGTCCATGCCAAATGCTCCACACGACGCTTCCGTCCAACCAGGACACCGACATCTACAACGACCGCGCACTCAGGTATCAGTGCTATGTACACTTCGTGTGCCAAGCCACATTATGACGTCATCGACATTGTTCTCCATCTGATGTCACAGTGTCGTGTAAATACTGATATCTTCTCCATCGTGGACAATTTCATATCACTCGCAGTTGAAGATAAACTGCTAATCTTGAATACACAAATATATGCTAGTTAAGTAGGTCTTCATGCGTCAACATGGGGAAAATGGACTATGCGATGATTTTACAAATACCTTTATGTTTTCATTGATGAGCGTTAATTTGGTGATACTTACTAATTTTAAGCCAAAGGTTCACATGTGCCAAATCGTGTATTAACGTTGTTGCTCAGGTGTTGCCTTAGATTCGTTTTTAACTCCGAGCACTAGAAGAGAATTCCTCGACATTACACCGGATCATAGAAATGTAGATATGTGAATACAACATGTTTATAGATTACTTTATCTGTATTGTTCCTCGTCTGATAATGCTCCTTGACTTGTCAGCACCATACCCGTGGTCGTTGGTTTCAGCAAAGCGCGTCACTTTTGACTTCCATACAACATCAAGCCGACTCGCCGTCATAGGACTGTAATAATGAAATTCAATGCGGCATAAATCCCAACTCACTCACTCACTCAAGTGTTTCACTTTCAGTGAAATGAATCAATGTTGTCATTTTCATCATCAGATGTCATGTTTATAAATACAACGTTATTGTTTGTCATTATTATCTTGAATTATATAAATATATATATATTTTCACATGATATGTAAATTTTGAATTTTGTCACTGAAATTAAAAATATTTTATAATTTTCTTTTCTTAATGTGTCATAATTAATGTGTTCATTTCATAGAAATATCTAATGAATGAGCGTGAGCGTGAAGATGTTTTAAGCAATGATTTCTTCTATGTAAATACTCGCTGACAGATGATTAATGATATGTATATTAATATTATTGTGATCCTGCCCTTTGGGAGATCCCCATCACAAGCCCATTCAAAGGCATGTCGGGTTTATCCCTGAAAAAAATTAATAAGACACAGGGCTCAAGGGTTCCATTTAAAATAGGAAACATGATTCGGATTTTACTTTACACTGTTGGCGTATGAGATGTCGCATGATATTTTAAATCTATTAAACCTGCAATCAGCAAATGTGACTGTGTGTCTGTATGACCAACACGGCGAATCTGGATGTATCTGCATAATGTATTTATACACACAAGTGTCCTACAGATAGTAGATCTGTTAATATCAACAATAACAAGAGTCAATCAGAAACAGACTCGACAGAGTGCTGTAGGGAGTCGTGACCTGTTGCATATGTCACATATGTCACATAACCCGGCTTCTTGAGGACAGACACATGTTATTGAAGTCACGAGTTGTGTTATTTACATTTGCATTCATATTTACACATACACACAATAAGTCGATATATATGTCCCAAGTATATAGTAGTTTGGGGTACTTACATGCCACGTTTAAGCGGCAAAGTTCCGAGTAATGTGATGGTCTGAAAAGTGATAATATTCACACAATCCTGGGCTTCTGTTTACTGGTAATTGTTATTAAAGATGATGTGTCAAATATGATATCAGTAAAAAAAATAAATATATATATCTAACACTAGATAACAGTAGTTCAAATTTTAATAAATAACATACAGAGAACAGAACCTATCGAGCAAACTGAAAAGCAAAACGAGAATGTAAAGATTAATTTATGCTCACATTAATATTGAAAGTGATTTCCTTTTCACTGACCTGTAGCAATTACATCCGGTTTGTTTTGTTAATAATCAGATGGTCACAATCTTAGCCTTTTCCGTTTTTCATTTTCTGTTGACGATATGTTTTCAAATCCCGAGAAAAGTTAATGGAATATATTAAATATATTCAAAAACCGTTCATTTGAATGTCAATGTACTCCACCAAATGCATAGCACGACGTTGTAATATTATGTCGGTATCTTTATCACTATTTATATAATGAAGTCACTGGTAGTGTGAAATTATTATGTTCAAAACGGCAACGCCAGCAACATTGGCAATATAGTTCGAGTACCACTTGCAGACCTACCGAAATGTTATATTCCAAACATACATTCACTACAAAATATACTGATGAGCTAAAGAAAGTATACACCTACAATTCGGATGTGAACAACAATTGGATGTTAGCATTCTTAGCCTTTTTCGTTTTCTCTTTCAGAAATATCATATGAAATAAATCAAAGATGTTTCAGTTCAGTTTTCAATGTTCTCAAGCAACTTCTTGTGCACCATTGCACAATGCAAAGTCAGTTCCTGTTCTAGTTGTTGACTATCGAAACGCGCTATTCGAAACAAACAATTGCTACAAAATAAACTGCGGGTGAGAAAGTACACACTTGGAAATCGAGTTTGGCCAAACAATTACAAATGTTAAACACTGAAAACTTAGGGTCCTAAATACATCGTATACCCGTACAAATACCGGACTGTCGACTCTAAAGTAATTACTAATCTGTTAATGGTATCAAATTTAGAAACCATGAAACACTGGTGTGTAGTTTAGTTTGCCATGCGGCTTATGTCAGAGTTTTCTTGTAAATCTCAGGTTTGAAACATGCGAAAACGGGGAAAGTTTCAACAAGTCGCCAGTAGTCGGGACGCCAACTGTGACCAGATCTGATCCACCAACATTCTCTTTTCAGAAAGAAAATATAGACTCTTTTCAGAAAGAATTACCGTTTAATACTAAACCCATTCGATTTACAAACACAGTCTGTATCTTAACATCAGAAACAGACAGCAACTAACACACATTATACCGATACTGTTAGCTGTACACTGAAAAGTTTTTTAAAAAACAGTATGAAAACTGGTCGCCATAAAATTGTATGATATTACTACGATAATAATGAAAGTTTGAAAGTATCTTTATTTGATGACAATATGGTAGGAAAAACAGTTTTCCATTTAGTAGCCACTTGCTTCGAACCATCAAACTCATTGATACAGCCATCACAGACAGTGTTGGAGTATACAGGATCGACCTTCTGTAAATGTTTCAATATCAGTGAACACGTGCGCGCAACCAACACCCCGGTGTTTTCTTTTCTCTGCTGCAATTACTTCGAGACTAATTGACCTTTTCGCTGCCAGGATAGCGCTGGGTGATAAACTGCCATTGGATATTTTCACAACAGTAACGTCTCCGGCCCTGGTCTCCCATTACCTGCCTAATGGGACCTCATCAGCGCCGTCTGTGGGAGGCATAGTGACACATTAGAGTAGCCTCCCCTGGGAGCTTAAGACGTTGGGTGGATAGACCCACCTGGAGTTTGACATCTTGACATGTAACCATATAGCGCCGTAAAGATTATATCGGCGGTACTTAAAGTGACAATTTGTAATTACGTTGTCTATAAACAAAACCTATATCAAATAAGTCTTGATTTGGCTTAAAATATTTTTCTACAGTATTTTTGTGTGTGATGTCATTTTGATTAATGATTATTGCCATTTACAGAAATTATATTACAATTTCTGATGTGGCATCTTAACATGTATAAAAAAGACTATTCAAGTACATTAAATGATTGAACAGTTGCAATATTGATTGGAAACCTTTAGAATCTATAATACACGAGATAGGAGGTGTGCACGGGTATACAATACACGCACAAAGGGACCATATTATTAGATGTTTGACTGGAATTTTAGAAGATGCTATTTGATGAACATAGATAATTTTCTGGGTTTCATCAATAAAAATAAAAAGAAGAGAAAATTCTCTATGCTGACCATATTATTGGTGTCAATTCCAATGAAAAAAGACTTGCTGCGTGAAGCACTACTAGAAACATAAGTAGTATGCAGAGACAGTATAATAGATTCTATTATATGGTCTCTGTAGTAAGAAACCATTTCGGCATCTGTTGCTGTCGTTCGTTCTCCGGACGTCGTCGTTAAGGGTGTTCTACGCTATCAGTTACTGCAGGAATTAACGTCAATCGACACGACGAAATTGACACAATAGTTGTTCCTGAAAAGAAAACATTGCTGTAGTTGCCACGTGCTTGGCACTGCATAGCTGGAGATCGAGGAGGGATACGACGTGTCCCCGGGGAAGTCCCCCCTGGGATGTCCACGCCCCTCCGTCACTCCCCACACAAACATCGCTGTTCTACAGTCACCCAGACCTCTGACGAGCAGCGCAGTTGGACGCTGACAGACAAAGTGATGGAATAATAGCGCTGGAGTCTTGGACGGGGTGTAGGGTGTTTAGATGGGCTTCGTATTGCACGGCCGTGCCATCATGGGGCACGAATCCTACGTTTAGGTCAAAATTCGGGTAATTGCAAATCGTCCGTACGCATATTTCTAGCTGTGGAGCATGCGGGGGTGAAAATGATATCATGCTATTTTGAACAAGTCAATAAGTGCAAATGTATTTATTTATTTGTTTCCGAAATGAGGTGATGATATCTGAGGGGTGAGAACAAATGCTTGGGATCGCTTCATCCGGGCTATTGTCACGTACATATTGCGATACATGCACCGCTTGGCCGCCATGCAGCGTTACACCCAACACCTTATAAGATAGGAAACATTTTCACGATGGTTTAGTGACATTTTACAACTGCACAATTGTTCGTCTGTGTGTGTATATCTATGTAACTGGATATTCCGAGACATTTTCCATATTTCAAGTAACTTGGAATTATTCCTGCTGATGTGCGAACAAGATGGGGTTAATTCTATACTTGTAAAGTGAGCTGGGGTGGCCTTGTGGTCAACCGATTGGCAAGACCCTGGTTCGAATTCCAACATTTCTGAAAAGTGTCCTAAAGCTGTCACTCTCTGTTTTTGCTGTCGACACCTTCCAAATGATTTTGAAATTTAATTAAATAAGAATATTTATAACGCGCCCCAGGCTTCATATCCTGCTCAAAGCGCACACTCTGATTATTATTATTATCCCGGATAACCCAAGCTGCCCGTGAGGCGCTAGAATGTTAATAGTTACATTACTTATCCCCCCGGGTACCCATTTTCTGCTGGTTGATCAGATGCAATTTTCAACAAACTCACCTGCCTAATGTGAGGCCACATGTTTCAAATGTGCTTCGTAGTGGGACAGGACTGAAGTCCTAGAAACTCTCAGGAGTCAAGCTGCCAAACACGGCCACCCATCCAAGGAAGTTAGGTCAGTTAATGGCTAAGTGAGCCCATTAATAGTAACAATGCAAACTATTTATCAAAAAGACACGTCAATGAAGGCCAAAACATAATTGTTACGTATCACAGATCGAAGAGTGACAACTTACCATTTGAAGCACTAAAAAGTTGACTTACATACGTGTACCCCTACGTAGACCTCGTACAATTAAATCTGGGCTAGAGACAACCAGCTGGGGATCATGTGGTTGGTACTTGATGTCCCAGTTGGATTTATGTCATCACACTGGTTTCTGGAACTTGTACTTAAACTACCACTTACTTAGCCATAAAACATCAGCAACAACTTAACCTGTCCATACTATCTTCAGAAACAGGTTTTGTTTGGTGCAAAACGTTTCAAAGATGTATAAGCGTAATCTTCGAATCAGTTAGCAAGCAATTGTCTTTTGGTGCAATGCACACGTAAATGGTCAACATATATTATTATATGTAGCGGCTAGCCAAATATCTAAGTCGATTAATGAGAATTTGCCCGTTGGCGGTTGGTGCAATTTAATCATAGATCTTCAACATATATTACTGAATGTATAGTGTACATTAGTCTGTCTCACAGTCCCTGAACCACATTATTTTCCCTACT